AAGGCTACTTTAAATTCCAAGAGGTTACTGTGGAACAGATACACTGAAATTGAGGGGCTTAATCCTAAAAAGGCAACAACCTTTGGAAATATACCCGCGAGAGTGCTGAAAAATAGCTCTGACATTTGTTCCGAATCGTTGCAGCTTATTTTCAATAACTGCATTCAAAATGGTGTCTTTCCCGACCTATTAAAACTAGCAGATGTCACTTCCCTCCACAAATCGGAGGAGAAAACCAATAAGAAAAATTACAGACCGGTTAGTGTACTACCAACTGTTTCAAAGGTTTTTGAGAGACTTATGGATAAACAGATTATTGATTATATGCAATCGTATTTATCGTCACTTTTATGTGGTTTTCGTAAAGGGTACAATGTGCAGCACACATTAGCTCGAATGCTTGAAAAATGGAAAGCAAGCTTAGACAGGGGAGAAAATGTTGGCGCAATCCTTATGGATCTCTCGAAAGCCTTTGATTGTATTAAACATGACCTCCTTATAGCAAAACTAGATGCTTACGGATTCAGCCATGAAGCACTGTGTCTTGTTAACAGCTACTTGGAAAATAGGCATCAGAGAGTTAAGATTAATGGATCATTCAGTACCTACAAACAATTGTTCCTTGGTGTTCCGCAAGGATCAGTTCTTGGTCCCCTCTTCTTTAACATCTACATAAATGACTTACTTCTCTCCTTAATGGATACGGATATCTGCAATTACGCGGATGATACAACTCTATATGCGTGCGATAAAAATCTCAATAATGTAATTGCAAGGCTAGAGAATGACTCAAGTATAACTATCCAATGGTTCGCTGATAACTTTATGAAGTTGAATACAAACAAATGTCATTTACTTATTCTTGGCAAAAGTTCTAATCAACAGGTTAAAGTTAATGTAGGAGATTCTATCATAGAAAACTCGGAAGAGGAAAAGCTACTAGGTGTTGTGATAGACAAAAAACTCAGTTTTGAGACACATATCAGTAAGTTATGTAAGAAGGCTGGTAGCAAACTCACCGCCCTCGCTCGCATATCTGGATACATGGACGCTAATAAACTTAAAATCTTAATGAGAGCATTTGTAATTAGCCAATTCGAATATTGTCCACTAGTCTGGATGTTCCACAGTAGGCACTTGAATAGTAAGATTAATAGAATACACGAAAGAGCTCTGAGAATTGCATACAAAGACTATGATTCTAGCTTCAACACTCTGCTAGAAAATGATGGCTCGGTAAATATTCATGTAAAACACCTGCGAAATCTTATGATTGAAATGTTTAAAACAAAGAGAAATATCAACCCTCCTTTTATGAGGGAGATTTTCTGCGAGCGTCATGCTGTTTATAATTTGAGAAATAATAATGAATTTATGGCACCAAGAGTAAGAACAACCATTTATGGAACCGAAACTATCAAATATAGAGGGCAGCGTCTTTGGCTCTCTTTACCTCAGCACATAAGGAATGCTCAATCTATTAATGAGTTTAAGAAAGAAATTAAAAGCTGGAATGGCACAGACTGTACATGCAAACTATGTAGGACGTTCGTGCCACAGCTTGGTTTTTTGTAATTCTATCTTTTAAATAGCTCAGGTTTTTATAGTTTTTTAATGGATCATTTTGTATTTAAAATTTTATGTATTTAATCTCGTATGTATTTAGTTGATGTAGTAGTTTTAACAGTTGGCTTGGATTAGCTCATTTCTTTGTAAATAGCTATGTAGCGCCAACTTTAAATAAATTGATTATTATTATTATTATTATTATATTGGGAAGCATTGGTGACCCTCCACCCAGGAGTCTAAATCTTTTTTAACTCGGCAGATTCGGCATTTTCGGTATTTACTCGGCAAACTTGGCGGTGGCATTTATCAAAACATTAATGATAGTCGATAGATATATTTTCATTTCAATTCGATCCTTTTCACTCCTTGGCATATTAATATTTCAACTGTTGAATGGCAAACAAAAGCAAGTGAGAACCAAGCTCCACATTACAATGTTTCAGGGTTGGGTGCACGAATGACGAGAATAACGTTCCGCCTGTGGATATTAATTCTAAGAGCAATGTTGTACTGCAAAGGTAGAAAAAATTGCTCCAATGAGACATTTTCCAGCGAACTGGAATCATTAAAATTCGAAAATTTACTCACCTTCTGCGCCTCAAGGTAGTATCTTTCCTTAACCTGTTTATTGCGACACGAGCATCTGCATCTGCAAGCTAACAAAGACTCAAACTATCTAAGTAAAATTGGTCACAATTCTGTTTGATGATTAAATAACGTCTTTTTTCTTATCAAAAAAGTTTAGAGCGCTGAGAGTATTGAAAAATCACGGAAAAAGATCTACAAAGAACTTTCTCAATTTGTCTTTTTTCTTTTAGAGACATTTTATTAAAAAAGCGAGTCCCCCGCAAAAATCCCGCTCTAAAAAGCTGTTCTTAATTGTTTGTTGAATTCACGTCCTGTAATAATCTCAATTTTTGTGCGTCCTTTTCAACTGAGATTCCATGTTTTCACTCCGATTGCCTAGCCCCCCTGTCGGAAGGTCACGCCTCTCCGTCGGAGAATTTCTTGCGCCACCACTGTCATGACTCTCAGCAGCGGCACCACTGTCGGTTGCTCAGGAGGAGGGCATTGGGATGACGTTTTGGGTTTTGCAAAAGTTTGATAACCGGGTTACGAGTGTTTTTCATGGAAAACGTGTGGTTTTTGGGTATTTATTTTGGAGTTTCCATATTTAAACCCGGGTTGGTTCCTCGTTCTCCCTAAACCACCTCTTCATCAGGTACCTGCTTCACGTTTAAAAAAGTTTGCAATCTTTGCAGTGCATCTTTCTAGGAAATGTGACTAGTGGGTCATTAGCAGACGAGGGTCCCATTCTATACAATGGGCTCTTCTCTCTTACTCAGTGACACAAGGACTGTCTTGTGCCCATTTGCATTTTGATGAAAAATGTAAAAAATCAAAAGAAGGGGCCAAACTAGTGGGCCAAAAACGTCAAATTTTGCTTTTTTAATGGGTCCTGGGGAGGGTCCATTGTTTCAACGCCCAGTAGTTACAATACTGAAATATGCCCTTGATTTTCGAGATCAAATTTACCTTAGCGGTAGACCACTTTGCTGGAAAAGAAAGGCATGAAGAAATTTGAAATTGATATTTGAAATTTCACTGACTTTGGTAGTTTTGTTCACGTTTTTGATCCTCACGCTAACTCAATAATAATAATTTCTCAATTGGAAGAATGTGCGTCTTTTCTCAAAAACCTAGGCTACCTCTACAAAGCCTTCTTTTTGCAAACTAGAAAAGTATCTCACAACAGCGGTGTATTTTGAAATATGCTCATCGTACCATACAAATATTAATAGATATAACCATCATTTCTAGTTTTCATTACGTGAAATCATCAATGATACCCTTCTTAACTACACTTACCGAGCTAACCAATCTGTGGTAATGATATTTCAATGTACAGCTTTGGGTGAGGCTAGTATTGAAAGTCTAGTCAATTTAGTTGTAAATAGCTTAGTATTAGCTTAACGCCCCTATTTGTTTGAATAGATAGTTTAACGCTGTAGCCAAAAACGTTTGCCAAGGATAAAGGCTTTATGCCCTGTTGCCCCTCCACTACTCAGCTGGTGCCTCAGCGATCAAATGGTACACTTGGCACTGTTCCCACGGTCCTACAGTTAGTGGGTCCCAAATTTTTCGGAAAGGAATCATGACAAATGCTCAAAATCCGAAAGCTAATCTAGGTGAGAGGCGTGGCATACACATAATTCTCAAATCCAGGACCGCTAGTCAATCTTTCCCCCTCCCCCTACAATATTGATGGAACTTCACTTACTGCAAAACAAGGATATCACCATCTTACCTGCGCCCTAAGTTGATTTTATATCGATAGAAGTTGCGAGTTGAAATGAAAATCCAAATTTATGTAATATAGTACATCTTCAGTACGATTAAAAGGGTCCTTCTATCATAACTGCACTACAGAACATTATGCAATGATTTTATGCCTCCTGTGAAAGTATACAATAATGTGGGTGTCAACTGAAAAATAATATTTTGCTAAAAATCTGCAACAAGACTGATAGTGCAAACGAAAATGTAGATGCAGAAATTATCTTTGCGAAAGAAAAGGTATTAGTGTCACTAATGTTTGATACATTATGTATTACACACTTTGAAAGCTATGCCTTCTATACTTCTTGTGTAAGTGCAGAAAAAGCTTAGTTGTCCACAGGTAAGGAGACTTCACTAAAAACTGAAAAAAGTTAGATATTTGAAAAATGAGTTTCATGAAGGACTATTACACCCAACTTGACGAGTAATGACTTTTGTACTTATAATCTCCTTCTCATACTGAAAGTAAATTAAATAATATCCTTGTAATAGATTGTTTATTTTCATTAAATTAGAAGCACTGAAGATTTTTTGATTGATTACCACTCTGCTCTATTCATCCTGTTGGAGAACTATAGTGTTTTAATTTTCCGAATATCGTTTGTCATAATTAAATTGTCATATTGCAATATAAATATTTCTGTAGACCCGTTCAGTTTGCAATGTATAATTTAATTGAATCTGCACTCATATAAGGTTTTGTTACAGTAAAATGTCCGTATTATTTCCTTTCTGCAATTAAAATCCTTACCTGGCTTAATTCATGTGCTATTATTTTAAACCTGATGGATGTACAAATCTAAACGGATTTTAGGTTTCGGATAAGAGAAAGCCAGATAATAGTTATTGACGCTGATTGATTGCTGCGTCAGCATACGATAGTCGTCAATTAACTTGACAAAATGTACTATTTAGTGAAGTGCTTGTCCGTGTGAATCAACACTTCAATTTGCAAAGCTGCATCATAACGATATCTATTTAAATATTTTTTGCCTATTGATTTCAAAATTTGTAGCCTGGTTAAATAATAACAAAAGTCCTTGACAATGCTCTTGCAGTTTGCTTGAAAACCCCGCTTTAATCAAGCTTACACCAGTTTCATAGCAAACATTTGACCTGAATAAAAAGGATTGGAAGATCTGTTTGTGACACTCCGAATTGGCATTGATTCAAGTTCAATCTCAAAATGGCTTCTCTCTTCTGGATGGTTCTAGGCCTTTGTGCCGCTGCTGTCTTATCCAGTGATCCTAGTAAGTGAATTAGTTTCATTTTGCAGTTTAGGTAGCAAAGCAATGAACATATTCCAATGAGGTAAAAGCTTCTGTTAACAAAAAACTCGCTACATGTATGACGACATAAGATTTTCTCAACTGAGATGAAGGTTTAACAAAGTTTAATAGCTAACAATAAACAATACCGCTGTTCCGACTTAAAGCCTAAAATTTTGTTTCTTATTTGTAAAATTGTCATTTGATATGTATTTTAAGTATTTAAGTTTCTTAACATTTAAGTCATTGAAAAACAGATACAACCCAGATACAACAGATATTGAAGACTCATTTCCATGAAAGATTATGCCTTAAAGATACTAATTAATGCAGCAAAGTAATTTCAGTGTCATCGTCTCTTGCTGGCTCCATGTTTTTTACATGTTTATCAGATCATATAACAAAGAATTTTCACACAGGATCTATATCAATGTCAAACCCATCTTAAACAATTCCTAAACATTATCTAGCGTTCCTATACCGTATTTGTCAGCACACTCTTGAAAACACCTTTTTGGAGAGTAACAACATACTTTCTCAAGAACTTCGTTTGAATTTCTTTAAAGGTATACTCCCAGTATTATTAAAAATATTACTACAAAACGATGCTAAACTTGCTTAATTTAATTCTTAAAACTGGACAAAAAATGTTAGATTTACGCATCAAGCCAAATAATCTTGATGTTCAAACTAATTTCAAATGAAATTTTTACTAGCTTGCAAGGATAATTACGTGACAAATTGTCCGACATGGAAAAGGGTTGGATACTGCACATCAGACAGATACAAAGCATGGATGGCGATAAACTGCAAGCTGTCGTGTGGACACTGTGGTAGCTATGATTTTAACTTTGAAAACTGATTTGAATTAGATATTGATACATGTTTTAGTCTTTCTTTTTGAGTTTGAGTATACTCATGAATTAAGTGATATTTTTCTTTTGCTGGAAGAAAGACTATATTACCTTGAGTTTAAGACTTGAAACTATATCATCAACTATCTATAAAGAGTTAGTATGAAATAAAAATATATGATACAATATTAAAAAGGTTTAAGGTATAATGTTCTAAATAAAACCTAACCCAGCAATAAATTTTTTACACAATCTACAGTCGCATTCTATAGGGTGTGCTCTTAATTCTTTTTTAAATGTTGCCAATGATCTGGACTCTCTTATACTGATTTCCTTCTAATTTTCTGACTTTCATACACTAGCAACCTATTTCTTCACGTGTAATTATTCCGAGACAAACTGACACAGCTGAGAGGACCTTTGCAAAGAATATCTGCTGGTTTGCAATGCGTTACTGATTCGAAGTAACGTTTGTAGTGCTTCTTAATAAAAGCAATATACTAATCATGATAGAAAATAACAATATATATCATTTTATTGTGAATAAGGCCTCGCAGCCCCAAAAAATATTTTTAAAAATCAACTTGACAACTGAATACTTTTGTTTCTAGGTAATCCTCCACAGACACGTAAGTACGCCTTTTTGCAAAGATAGTACTTAGCTTGATACATTATAAATAAACAAAAAAGCCAAATTGTTCAGTTTTTTTATTACTTTGTACGTAACTCAATCGATAGAAAAAAGTTAAATAAAAGGTAAAAAAATAATGCGTAAAGTAACCTTCATACACTTTAAGTAAAAATCCTTTGCAAGATTATAAGAAATTTTATCACTGACTACCATGTAAGTTCCACAGTAACTGTAGATTGTTCTATATTATCCCTTAAAAGAATCCTGCGGTAAACCAGAAGTTGCTCAAAGCAGAGTCATTGCTGGCATAAATGCAAACAAAGGATCATGGCCTTGGCAAATTCTCATGTTATTTAATGGAAGGACAATGTGTGGTGGCTCTATAATTGCTCCACAATGGGTCGTTACTGCGGCTCACTGTGTATCTGGGAAGGAGGCATACGCACGCTACTTCAAAGTTAGGTAAAAACCTGAAATCAATTTCTGAACTGATGAAAGAGTCTGTTCATTTTTTCATGCGTTTACAAAAATTTGCGTTAGCGTAAATGTATGTACGTTTTTTTAATAAAATTTGATTCTGTCACTTCTTCCTTAATTAAAAAATATCTTTTGGAAGGTCAGTTTGCCATTTTTGTGAGAAAACCTTGAAGAAGTCTTGCAAATCCACTGAATAAAGTGACTATCCTAAAATAGAGAAAATTAACAAGCCTTACTTTCAGTTTTGACTTTACATTTCACAGGAAAATATTTGATAATGGATTGCTAGTTTATGGTATCAATTTATTTTATGCATTACTAAAGAAAAATTTCTAGTCAAAATTTTAGTTACAAACATTTAAAGAAATTATTGATTTATTGACTGGCACCTACTTCATAAATGTTTTAAGTTTTGATATTTTTGATAGTGTTCAGTTTCATTCGATACTTTGCTGTTATTTTACCGTTTCGACCTCATTTGCATTAAAGGCAACAAATATCTAAATAGCGCTTTTGCGCATTTTTTTTTAAAGGTTAGTTCTAATTAACTCCATCAAATTTGTCTAATTTGCCAAATGTATTTTTAATTTTTCATTGGTATTACGCTTCTGACTATTATACACTCAGCATGCAAATGCTAAATTTAGTAAGCTTCTTTACACGTTGGCATGCTACGACGAAATCATGAAAAATTGAATGTTGTGTAATTTTTAAATATTTATTGAATAGAGTTGGAGAGCATATTACGTCAACAACAAGCGATGGACAACATATCGATATGCAAGTTGAAAGAATCATTTCCCACCCAAGCTACGCAAGAAGCACAATCAATAACGATATTGCATTGATGAAACTCTCCTCACCAATTCAGTTTGGAAAATATGTGAAACCAGTTTGTCTGCCCGGACAAGACCAGCACGTTCCAGTTGGAACCCAATGCTTCATTACAGGTCAATTATTTGTAACTTTGGCTACTTTACTGCCGTATTTACTCCTTAATCCGTTGTCAGGAAATAGTATTTTTTTAAAAAAAAGCATACTTTCAAGTTCCTGCACAAGTTGTTTTCACAAATCTTAACATTTAACAATGCTTTCACTAAACGACCCCATCACCTGCTTGATAGTGCAATTCGTGACATACTTTTCGGCTTTTTCCTCTGATGCTATCCACCCAGATTCGTTAAAGTTCTTCAGGATATGATTTACCATCTTTGCATTTTGGAAGCACTACACGTCTAATCTTATGATTACAAATTGCTTGTTTCCTTTCAATTATTTTTTCTTTGCATGGTTTTGTAATTTCTTCAAATCGTATTCATGCACTCATTTTTTTAGCCATGTTAACCTGAGCATTCGACTATAAAATGTAACATCAAATGCATCATTAGTAGGATTAGAACAATAGATTTTATCATAAAGACATTTGCTTTTTCTAGAGTGTTTTTGTCTCATTTTGCATTTTTGTCTTAATCTTCGTAGCTATGTTTCTTATCCTGCCTTTTTTCGAATTTTTTGGCATATAAACATGCATGGGAAGGAAATTGAATAATTTTGCTCTAGTAAGATAACTGTCAGAAAAAAGATTTTCATTTTTTTTTAATTTAATTTAATTTAATTTTATGATTTATTTCGATTTGTTTCTTTCTCTTAACCAAATTTGAGTCAAAAACTTTGGAGGATCCTTTTGTATTAATGCTGGTCACAAAAATTAATCAAATTCGTTTCATTCCACTTTCATACTTTCTCGTTTCTTTTTGTGGCAGTAGCAGATACATTTTTGAGCCATTATTCAATTTCTCTTAAATTTCCTTTCAATAAAGAGAAATTAACAACCCCCTGCATTTATTGTGCCCTTCTCTGATTCGGCACCAGACAGTAAAAATTTGTTTGAACATTATTTATTAACAAATCCATCTAGCATTTTAATCCACCACATCCATCCAACATTTTCATCCAACATATCCATCCAACAAATCCATCCAACATTTCCTTCTAATATATCCATCCAACATATCCATCCACCATATCCATTCAACATATCCATCCAACAAATCCATCCAACATTTCCTTCTAATATATCCATCCAACATATCCATCCACCATATCCATTCAACATATCCATCCAACAAATCCATCCAACATTTCCTTCTAATATATCCATCCAACATATCCATCCACCATATCCATTCAACATATCCATCCAACATATCCATCCAACATTTCCATCTAATATATCCATCGAACATATCCATCCAACATACCCATCTAACATTTCCATCTAACATATCCATCCAGCATCTTTATCCAACATATCCATATATGCCCATGCAATATATTTTGCTAATGAGCGATTTTGAATTTGTAATATTTTGATACAGTATTGTGGAATCTTTTGTAAATACACATAGGCTTGATTAAATCGTAAGAGATGCCTATCCAATTCCTTTAAGCTACTATCAAAAGAAATTTAGTTTTCATATTGTTTCATTTTGTCATTTAGATATACAGTCATTCAAATCTCAAATTTTTAAGCCTAGTCAAAAACAATTAATTTGATTATATCCAATCTTACCCTGGATGTTGCTTTTTCAGGCTGGGGAAAAATACAACACCCTGGTAACATGCATCACACTTTGCAACAAGGAAAAATGCCTGTTGTGTCCAACACTGTTTGCGCGGGCCTCAATACAAAGAACATGGGAATAACGGTTTGTATGTCATAAAACTAAAAATCGTTTCTGTATCCAAGGCAGCTTTACCAGCCCCGATTCAACGAGCTGTTTTATTTGTAAGTGCACCGGCAGTTTCAGATTCAAGTCTTCTCAAACGTGAAACTATAGTCTTTCCTTTGATGATTTGTTCAATTCAGAGGGACTGCGGAGCCTATTACATGGAGCTAAATGTTTTCTGAAGCATAATATGCTAAAACTCTAGGAGAAGATGATTTATTGCAAGCTTATAAATAAATTTTGAGAATTACAAGGACCAATGCTTCTTCAGCCTCTCGCTGCTGCAGTCCATGTTTTCCACCAATATTGTTATCCTGGTAAATTACGATGATGATAATGATGACGCTAAAATTTCTAATTGCAATATATACACTTTAATGGAGGATTTGTGAGAAAAAAGCGGGCATTGACAATTTTTAAGAAAACTTTAGGTAAGATTTCTTATTCATTAACAATGCATAAATGATGGTTTTTTGACAAAACATAGAAGGTGAGACAATTATAAAATCTTTGTAGATAACTAGCCAGATGGTTTGTGCTGGTCACGGAGGAACAACTCGTGTGAGCGGATGCCATGGTGACAGTGGTGGACCATTTGTGTGCCAAACTGGACCCAATGGCTCTTGGGTTCTCCATGGAGCAGTTAGCTGGGGATCTGGAAGTTGTGACGCAACACTAGGCTATTCAGTCTTTGCAAGAGTTGCAAGATTCAGAAGTTGGATTGATCAGCAAATGTCAAGATATTGATACATTTCAACTCAAAATTAATATCTTATTCTATCAATGAGCTTGAATTCATAACAATCAAATTGTTTGATTTTCATCGTACCTTGACTCTTATCCATTTACATGTCAGTTAAATTTAGGTGAAATCATCTCTAATACCAGCTAAGTTTCAAACATATGGACCAAAAGGCTAGAAGCAAAATTTATAGGATAGTAGGTAAGGTTTGAAAAAAAAATTTAAAGATGCTTTGCAAAAGCACACATTTTTAAACACATACTTAAGTTTTACTTCTGGTAATCTTCAGAGTATAAAACACCAGAACATAGATTGGGAACTTAGAGTTAGGAAGTACATATACCCAGTTATGGATGGCAATAGACCAATTAGAATCATGGGAATATAACTGAAAAGGTTGCTTAACCCAATCACTGCCGCTTGCTTATTAAAAATATCACCACTGGAGTCCCAAGGTTAAACAAACTCCTTCTGTCTACATCTTTTCAAAGAAATGTTGGTCAAGTTCCAAGCCGAATTATGACTTCGAACAAATTGATAGGGCCTTTTGGGTTCGAACCTTTTTTAAGCTCGATATTTCTTTGTTTTGTCCAAAAGGAATGCCATTGAGTGTAACCAAGATAAAATAAGAGAACTAAGATAGCCTAACTAAAACCCCCCCGATTTACCTCCATTTTTGCATCCCGATTCTCGGTAGGACGCGCTCTGTTGTCCGAAACAAAACCACAAGAGCAAGTCTTAACGAGGCGAATGAGCCGTTGCTCTTACATTTCTATCATGTTTTGGTACGGTTTATAACTACTTTTCTTCACAAACTTTCGTGTTTGGTTTTGTATGTCCTTTTCGGATGATTTTAAAACTACCTGTCCGTTCGATGCATCAGTTCGGCTTCCTAGTAGATAGATCATGGTTGGGATGAATCAGGATTCTGTTGTCAGAGTGATACTTGTTACCAAGAACATACCTGGGAACTTTCGAAAAGCCAAGCTGAAGTAAAAAAGAGCTTCCAACTCAGATGACGATTTTTAGGAACTTTGACACGATAAAACTATATATAGATGATCCGGTAGGTTTTCCATTAGTGTTATTTGTCAGTAAGTAATGAATACCGCTGCATAGTTCCTATGGACGACAAATCCAAATTTAGTCGCATCAAAACATGCATTAAACTAATTAGATATCTATTCAGGAAAAAAAATCAAAATTTCGCAACTTCTTTGTGAAAACGAAACGAGACTAAACATACCAAAATTCAATTTTAAGCATTTATACGCAAGAAATATGCTTAATCATCTTTAAAGTTGTAATCTATTATCATTTAAACTGTTTTTTAATTATTTATCATTGATTACCTCCATATGCAAAAAAACGAGATTTCAATGACGAAAAAGGGGCCGATAGCTCCCAAAGATCCCCGTATAACATCGATTTTTAAAATCACCAGCCTCGAATTGACCAAAAGCACTTGGTCCCATAAATTTCGCTCTCATAAATTTCCTCCTGTCTACACAATTGAAGTTGCTCATGTTCATGTAGATAGATAGGCTCTACCAATACTTGAAACATGTCACCATCATAGTTTTTGCACAATCTGGGTTTTTCCAGTAAATTCTGCCCGGTAGTGGAATCGCTTCTTTTAGTTGTTGTTTTGATCTGCGAGACTGAGGAGGCTGTTCTCTTTAGGGGAATTTTTGTTTCTAATGCTTGGAAGGAAATGCTGTTCTATTCTATCCCCAAATCTTTTCCCAGAAGTGACAAATGTGTTCGAGGCGACCCATAATTATTGTTGGAAATGAATATCATGGAATAACTGACTCTGTCTTTAATCGAATGATTGTCTTATCTTATCAAACCCTAATTAAAATGTATAATAATCTGATTGTAAATAATGGCCTATTTTGACAAAGTATCTTATGCTCCGTAAAATTGTTTCACTTTTGTCGTATAAATCCTTAAGTGTTCTCCATTATGTTCCAGGTTTGTCAAGAATAGTTTTAGTACTTAGACATGAACTGTTAATAATAAAAAATTGATATATTCAAATAACGACCTTTCGACGTTTCAAGCAAAACTTTTTATCAGAGAAAAAACTAGGAGGAGTAACGGTTAAAAAGTACTATGGTCTTTGTTTGCCGTTTTTTTGAAGAAATTTTCCCCCAACAAAATACCAGTTCAGAATAACCCTTTCGTGATCCCGCTTTGTAATTAAACTGTTTGTTTTGATAACAATTGACTCGCAAAACATCTCGATAAGCTTATGTTCAGCTTTTCAGTATTTTTTTTACTTTAGGTCAAAAGTTATAGAAAATCTCAACGAGCAGAATATTTTCAGTAAAAAAAATTGGTATATGTGTATCTTCAAAATATGTTTACAAATTTGAGCATTATTTGCACTTTCTACCTAGGGTATAGAAAACTTCCAACTTCGTAAAATACGTCTCAGTGCTCATAGCCTCCTTATTCGAACTAGTAAATTTGAAAAAAATTCTGTTTCTAGTGCTGATAGAAATGTCTCGTCATTTTCTTTTAATATAACTGCTGTAGAGGATGAAGCTTGTTTTTACCGATTTTCTCCATTTTACCATATTGATAGGAATGCTATGTTATATGTGATTCATTCAAAATTTACTAGAGGTTCAACTCCTTGGTCTATGTGATACTTCCATCTAGTTGTTGAGCCAAGATGTTATAGTCTGATAAAATTTGCTATACTGTATCACTAGCACTAAACCTTGGGGATCATTTTAGAAAAGCTGAATAATAATATAATTTTAATATGATACTTTTTAAATGTATTTATTTCTAAACTATAATTAAATGTAATATCGAATGTATAACATCAATATTGTTGCTCGCTAGCTGTTATTTTTAAAATTTCTAGATAGCTGAAAGCTTTGGCTATTTTCATTTATATAATATTTATACAGGATAAATCGTGCTGGTATATACATATAAAACTGTACAGTGCTTTCCAAACGAGTCCTGCCGTTTGGCCATTCTGCCCTACAGGCCTTTATATATGAATGCTATCTTTCACTTTTTAATTGTCAATTATCTTTACTATCATCATTCCATTCGATGATTGCACTTAACGGGAACATCAATAAAACATTAACAAATTTTTGGCAAAACTCCTGCCTTTGTTAAATTACAAAGTTAGATTCGTGCGATCGTGTTCCATACGAATGCCCAGGCACGTATACAATGGGGGCGTAGGGGCCTAACGCCCCTCCCCCCAAAGTTTGGAAAATCCAGTTACAGTTGTAAAACTAAACGGTGAATTTTTTATGTTAGAAATTTTGGGACTTTAAATGTAAATGTTTTAAACCTTAATTAAATTCAACGGCTGGAGCGGACCCATCCACTAATCTTGTTTTATTCTGAAGCCCCGTCTCCACTGGATCAAAATTTGCACAATTGTACCGTTTGCTTAACTTTTGACGGGAGTTGAATTGAATCAAATTAAGGATAGGCAAAGTGAATTTTGGGATAAGAAACTTTACAGTTTGGAAAAGTAATACTTGTATTGATCAGAAAACATTAAAGTGGGAGTTTTGTTAGGAAGCTACGAGTAGTTATCTCAATGAAAAATTAGGAATCTTTCAGAACTAAGATTTTCATCGCTTCTTTTAAAAAAACATATGGTAAGCTCCCCCTGTTAATTGTAAGAGTCCTTAACATCTTATCTTAAATAGTTATAATAAAGCTGCTGAGAAGCCAGAAAACATTGCAGAAGCTGCAGCAGAAGTATCAAAGAAGAGTGTTTCGTCTTACGAGTCGGGCATATATAGTTGCTCTACCAATTGTTAAAAACGAAAAGGTATTTGGCCCTCTGAAAATTGTTAATAGCTTTCTTCGATCAAGAACAGATATAAGGCTTAATTCCATGATGCTTCTATATCGTAAAAAATATTTCAGATAAAATTGATCCGCAGCAAATAGCTTTAAAATGGGCAAAGCAGAAAAAGAGAAGAATCGCTGTTAATTTACTTGGTAAAATATTACTTATCATCAAATATATCTAATACTGGTTATGCTTAGATGTTACTTTACTTCTTACAGTAAGTTTAAATGTTTGTGTCATGTTAATCCAGATTCAGAGATTTAGGCTTTTATGCTTTAGGATAAATATTTTAGTAAAATTTTGGTAATTATAAAGAAACCATAAATACAGAGATACTAAATATCAATTCGATAGGTACAGGAGACTTACAGGTCGAACGAAAACTTTTTCAGTTATAGTTGAAATTTCTGTCCTTCCACGCCCCTCCAAAATTAGCCACTTGTTTTCATCCCTGCGAATGCCTCATTTTAAAATAATATGCAAAAAAGAATAGTTGACAAAAGGAAATTTATACCAAACCCCTGAAAGCTGTCAACCAAACTGCAGTTCAAACTAAGCTGTCAATCAATCAGAAACGATTGGTTCAAAAATAGCCTACAATCAAAACGCGACAAAGAAAGAAAAGCAGTCAAAGTCAAGACCTGAATCAAACTTACAAAGGTCGTCTCAGACATAATGCTACGACTTTTTGTGTATGCATGATAAGATCAATGACTAATAGGATTATTGATTTATTGGCTCTAAACATGTGCGGTATTATTTGAGGAAAGTACCAGGGTTTATAACTTGAGGTCAAGATTTAAAACGAGAAGTTCTAAATCTGTAATTAACGCGAAAAAGAATGGCCTTTTCGACAGACCTTTCTATATCAAGGAAATGCATTTTAATAAAGCTAAAAAAGGCAGGTAATGATAAATTTTATGTGTCAGGAAAGCTACTCAAAACATTTTTAATTACACACTTCTTTTTAAAAAAATAACTATGGGTTTGCAGAAAGTGACATCTGATGAAGTCAAGGGTGTCCTAATTTTTTATTTTTTGATTAGATCATTGACTGGAATCTTTCAACAGCTAACAAAAGCCTCTTCAATAGCCTGAGACTAATTGCATAAATTGTCTCATCGCAACGGCTCAGATTTCTTGTATCCACCAGTGGCGGATTGGTTACCATTTGACCCACCGGGAAAAGCAACCAAAAGAGCGCCAGTAGGTGCTAAAGTTGCTTAACTTTGGGTCTTGTAAAACGGGCCCGGATAAACTTTGTGTAGCTGAGAATCAGTTTTTTGCAAACACTGTCATAATTCATCCTTGAATCCCTTCGCAATGGACAATAGAATGAAGGAATTAGGTGGGAACCGAAATGGGTGCCTGGGGGCCTGCCCCAGGAAAGATGTTTGAAATCACGCTTTTTAGATTGTCGGAACATGTTCCATGTTGAAAATCAAAGTTTTTTATTAACAATTGACATTGGCATGGAAAAGATTCTCGGTCAATTTGATTGTTTTTGAAACGTCTACACAGCTGGTAAATTTTTAGGGATCAAATGATGTATTGCTCTCAGATGATATGTAGATTGTGATTCTTTCTGAAGAAAATGCAGAGTTTCTATTCTGGGACAAAGATTTTTTAAGTTTAAAGAAAGATTGGAGTACTTTAATAGCTAGTTGTAAATTTGAAACCAAGTTTTACAGAATTTTCAAGGGCGTCAGTTCTGAACAAATTCAGTACAAAGTTTCTTAAAAAGCGGTTAAGATTTTTCGCTTCAGTTAGTCATACTTTCTTTATGGTACAAAAAGTTTCATATACAAAAAGCAGGATGCCTATGAGTTCTTAGTTGATTGGAAAATAAAATAGCCTGTCACAGGACGCTTAGAAAGTATTGCCCTCTATCATACCTAGGGCAGTTTTCACTATTACGGGATATTTGGTTTTCGAAAAAAGGACAACACAGATATTTGATTATTCAAGAGAGGCAACACAGGGAATATGCATGTATTATGCAGTCAAAAATATTCAATTTTTAAAAAATCCCATCCCTGCAAAATTATCATTTAATAAGTTTTTACAATTGGCCATAATAACAGTTCCCATACCCAATAGCCAACACATCGATAATTTTATCCAATTACAACTATTTTGATTGTAAAGAGCACAGGGTAGTGCTCAGTTTAATTTTTCCAAAGTGCGAGCTCTTTCAGTTATTGGATATCAGCACTAAAAATAATTTGCATTAGGCATAAGTCAAAAAAACAAACATGGCTTATCATAAATCTTGGATTTCACACAAAATTATTAATCATTAGTCAGTTGGCAAAACAGTCTGCTAGTTGGCTAGTAAAAATCCCTACTACATCCTCAACAGATATCGAATTGATTAAAGAATTGCGCACTTGCTTGAAAAAAATAAAAGCTAACCAGGTTTGTAGTTAAAGTAGGCTTTCTGGCTGCTACCACAGCTACTGCTGTCAAAAAAACAATAGACTTTGCAAAATACCTGGCTATTTGAAAATTTGAAAATGGCTTGCAAAAAGCAAACATTTTACATCATACAAAAAGCTTTTTTCGTCGCCATCTCATCAGAGTATAAAACGTCGGAATAAGGGTCCGAAAGAACAAGATGGAAAATTCGATCAATAAATGGTATTCTCCATTCTGTTCTTTCGGACCCTTATTCTGACGTTTTGTGTTCTGAGGTCAGACGAAAAGGCTTTTACTGCCCGAAGATTATTTGCCTTTTGAAAGTTTTCGAGTTTTTTGAAAAAAGTATTTTGAGGCAAAGGGTGCACCGGGAGAGTTCCCTGTGTCCCGGTGGGCCAGTCCGCTTCTTGTATCCACGTGTTTCGCAAGTGTATAGCCTTATCTAGAATTTTCTTAGGCCTTACAGGATCAATCTTGCTGATTTTTTTAAACTTTGTGTTCCAGAGAAAACACCGAAGAAGAAGTCATTTGAGCTCACCATATCAGCAAATCAAAGCTAGGTTCGCACAACCACCCCCACTTGCACGCACACACTAACAAAACCTCAACGTTCTTTATATATACTGTAAACTAATTAATCCAAAATAAACTACCAATAAGGATGCTTCTTTAAATTTACATCAATTGGCTCAAACTAAAGTGTAATTATCATAATCGAAGCAATTATAAAACAAGGTAAACAGAAAAGCTGCGTCAGAAAGTCACAAGATACAGATAAGGCCTAATTAAACTAAACCAAAAACCTTAATCGATTACGCAATGAAAATTTACGCGAAAAACCGAACAGAACTCTTTGTCTCTAAAGCCAATAAGAAGTCTTTCCACGATTTTAAGGAACGAATCATAACGATCTCCTTTCATCGTTTGCCTTCGGGGATGTCTTTGCATGCTAAATTATTCACCCTCGATTCTCTGCTTTGTACTAAACGAAAGTTATAATCATATTGTATAAGCCAATCAGGGTTGACACACGCCCTTTAGTTTTTCACAAATATTTTATATCAGAAGTTTCAGAAATTATGCTCAAACGAAGAATTGCGAGTACACTTTCAAAATAAGAAATAATTTTTCTCCAAATTAGGGATGTAGTCTTAAAAATTTAACATTTCTGGTTTAACAATCGAAAAGTTCAAGATGCAGAAACTATGTTAATGGAGGAAGAGGCGGTGGAATGGAGATTAAATCTAGTTTATAATTATATACTATACTTATAGCTATGGAGGATAAGGTGTTGTTCTGTAGCCTGCAGGTATTGCATCTTATCCAAAAACTTGCGATTTCAAGACTTATTGCAATTCACCAGTGTTAGAGTGATGTTAGAGTACATACTCGAAGAAATTGTTTTTTATCGAAAGTGTGTCTTTGCAGCTGGAAGTGGAATCCGATAGTGGTTGTAAAAAATCTAGCTACAACTTCTTTAAGAACTATTTCAACAACATATTAGCATACTGACAACGGTACCGTTTTGAGAGTATCTCTGGTTGCTCCGAAATTGTTGAATAAATGCTGAAAGGATTAGACAATGCATTGCAAAAGTACAAAGGCCTAGTACTAAGCAAGAAAGATCTGCTGTCTTGATAAAAGTTTTTGTTTGAAGATCAGGGCCTTTTTCTGCGAGTTCTCTTTAATTGTGGAATTTTTTGAAATGCCATTTGCAAAAAAATTGCACGCAAAGATTGAATCAATACAATCTCTCATGCAATGAATTCATGTCATTTATGATTTCTACTGGTAATAACATTTTTTTGAAAGTCTATTGATTTAGCGCAGCTTTAAAAGTATGATGCTCCAATTTTTAATTCTTTCCTTGCGCGAAAAGAGAAAATTGTGTAACCTTTTTGGTGAGTCTAATATTTTCCTCCCTACTTATAGGGAAGTAATGGAAGTAATGAAGTAGTGAACCTTCCTAAAATCTTCAGTAATGGAAGTAGTGAACCTTCCTAGAATGTTCAGAGATATGAAATGGGGAATTTGATCGAGTGGCCTTCAAATCAAGTCAACCATAATCAGGTAAGTGATATAAAGATTGGAGGGACACTTTACAGCCGGTGTCATATGCGTTTTGGTACCCTATGCAAAAGTGTAACATTGTGAAACGCAATGTGTTTCAAATCAAGTGATTTCATCGTAGTTCGATATTATGACACATTATAATTAACAAATAGAACACAATGCTCTTTTTGTTCAAAATTTCACACTTTTTAATCAAGAAAACTTTGGAGTTGCATTAATGTTGTACTTTTTTGCATAAACTTAACAAGGGAAATCACAGCACCGCTTCTTGTTAGTGTTCGATTGTTCTTTACATTCTGAACATTATGAATCAGAACATTTGTGTTCCCAGACCAGGTCGCATGCTAAATTCCACCATTTGTTTCAGTTCCCTGTTTTTAAAAGATTGGGTACGTTTTTGTATAAGCAAAATTGTTATGGGTTTCTGTACCAGGACCGTTTTGCATGCGAAATTCCAAGTTCGTTTTGGTACCCTATTGTTTAAGTGCTTGGGTACGTTTTTGTATAAACAAAATTGCCATGCGTTTGTGTACCTGAACCGTTTTGCATGCTAAATTCCACCATTCGTTTTGGTACCCTATTGTTTAAGTGCTTGGGTACGATTTTGCCTAACCAAAATTGCCATGCGTTTGAGTACCCGGACCGAAATGCATAAGGTTACCGAAACGCATATGACACCGGCAACAAAGTAAAGAAGAGTTTCCAGTAATAAGTAGTAGGAGCATTAGAAAGTTTGGCTTTTATTCTTTTTTGCTTTGTTTGTAACAGTAAGTTCGCTGATGTTGAGTTGCCTGAGGATAAAATTGAAAATCTAAGATGCTAGATACGTAGAGTAGAGAAGATTCATCTGTTTTCTGAACATGATAGTGACTGTTGCATATCGCATTCTGCTCTGAAGCGTCTTTGGACCGAATTGTAATTTTTTTCTTAACCAAATGCAGTTTTCCGAAAGGCATAACACTTATATAGATATAGTTTATGCTGTCAATTTTTAAAGATGATGAAAGATTTTGAAGCTTATACTCCTTCGTAAAATGATTATTGTTTGAAATTTTTAAAGAGCAAGAAAACTTTCTAGCTGACAAAATATCATTTCTATCTATATTCATTAATAATCAATGAAAATTTGAAAGAAGTGTAGTTATAAAAACAAATGGTAAGATTTAACCTAAGAGTCAAACAGAAAGTGATAATATATGTCCTGAAGTCAATCATGGCCAGAGACAAAGATAAGCAATGAACCAGAGTTAATCATGCTCATAAGCGAGTTGTAATGCGAAAAAAGATGATTGAATAAATATATTATTTTAGTCCATTAATATGTTGACATCTGTTGATCGATCCAGCTCCTGAATTTGGCAACTCTTGCAAAGACAGTATAGCCTTGTGTTGCATCACAGCGTCCAGATCCCCAGCTGACTGCTCCATGGAGAACCCAAGAGCCACTGGCTCCAGTTTGGCAAACAAATGGTCCACCGCTGTCACCATGGCATCCACTTACACGAGTTGTTCCTCCGTGACCAGCACAAACCATCTTATCAGTGATCTGTGAATAAGACGAATCATAGAGGTCTCAATTGTATGCCACTAGTAACTTAGTTTAAGCGCTGATATATAAAACTTTATCTCCAAAAAAAATTACGCGTAATATCATAAAGATAGAGTGGTACTACGAATAATCAAACGTACCCCAAGTCCCAAGTTCTTTGTGTTGAGATTGGTGCATGCTTGATTGGAAACAACAGGCATTTTTCCTTGCTGCAAAGTGTGGTGCATGTTGCCAGGATGCTGTATTTTTCCCCATCCTTAGAGAAAAGACTCATATCAAAATCAACTACATAGAGTAGATGATATATTGCAATTGGTTCGTCATCATAAGAAAAAGTTCTGTCAGAGTAAGGGTTATGAACAGTTCAACAACGGAGCTTTGCTGGAGTGGTAACCAGACTTTTTATTATAGCTCCTCTTCGTATTATCGTTAAGCGCCAGATAATGTTATCATTCAGTTTCTCACTGAACTTAAGAGGTCAATAAATGAATCATACCTGTGATGAAACAATCGGTTCCAACAGGGACATTCTGGTCTTGTCCAGGCAAACAGACTGGCTTCACGTATTTTCCAAACTGAATTGGCGAGGAGAGTTTCATCAATGCAATATCGTTATTGATTGTGCTTCTTGAGTAGCTTGGGTGGGAAATGATTCTTTCAACCTGCATATCGGTGTGTTGTCCATCGCTTGTTGTTGACGTAATATGCTCTCCAACTCTACCGAATATATAAATAAATAATTTAGCAAACTGCTCGATTTTTCCAAGGTGACCAGAAATCGAGTTATTGATTCTCAGATGTCTAATACCCGCACATATTATTCTAAAATCTTGATAGTCTATAGTATAGTCTATAGACTATGATATTAGACAAAGACTTAATATTTAAGTTAGGGTTGTTAATTATATAACTTTAGCAAAAAACCTTTGACATCCTGCTTTCTAATATCAGTACCAAACCTATTTAACGCTTTCATTTTGTTTACCTGACTTTGAAGTAGCGTGCACTGGACTCCCGGCCAGATACACAATGAGCCGCAGTTACCACCCATTGTGGAGCAATTATGGATCCACCACACATTGTCCTTCCATTGTATAACATGAGGATTTGCCAAGGCCATGATCCTCTGTTTGCATTAATGCCAGCAATCACTCTGCTCTGTGCTACTTCTGGTTTACCACAAGATCCTTTGGGGTTTAAAATGACAAAAAAACTTCATATTTCATCTGAGCTTCGTTAGGTTTTTCAGGGCCTTTTTCACTTAAGAGGGTAAAAGAACGTTTTCTATAAAATACATACAGAGTGCCATAAATTAAGAATTTAGTTTAAAAAGTTTCATATAAGATTTCAAATTGCTGTTGATATCTACTTCGATTTTCTCAGTCTCTTACTAAGAAAGTGATCCAATAATATGGCTTAGAAACATATGGCATTTTTTAAGCAGATTCTTGTTCAACACCTCTTTTTCTGTACGTCGTTTAAAACGCGTTAGAATTATTTGTCATTTAGTTGAAGTTATTAAATATAGTTATTCAATATATGAAAGAATATTGTTTAATTCATGTGATGGTCTATCAACAATGGCAACGCACAATTTAAAAAGCTATCCAATCATACCTTGAGTTGGTCCTTGAGTTGGTCCTTGAGTTGGTCCTTGAGTTGGTCCTTGAGTTGGTCCTTGAGTTGGTGCAGCTGTTGTAGCTGATCCACCTGAAAGGAATTGGCAGTTGGGTTTTATTTCTAATATTCTAATAAGAACAAGAAAATGGCATGAAGGAATTGTATGAAGTTAATCAAAATACTCTAAGAAGGAAAGGTTGCTTTAAAATCGCCATCTCTAATAAGGAAAGGTTGCTTTGAAATCTGCAGCTCCGTAGTGCCAATAGCTCCAATTTAAACAGAACTGATGAGAACCTAGTTTATGAAGAATATTTTCATAAAAGAACAGCCCCAGTTTCTAACAGGAAGTGATCATCTTTGCAATTTTTTTGTTCTGATAAAGATAGGATAAAATTTCACACTTTTTAATTTCATTAGAGAAAGAACTGAGAATACATTTATCATTTCCAATTTCAAGAAGTCCATTACTGATGTCTTTAATAAAGCATATTAATTCGTTTTAGCATATGTCTTCCCTTACAGCTGAAAATATTTTCTTTGTGTCAGATGGTTGTTTGGCTGTTGAGCTAGCGATGCATATTTTCCAAAGTTTATATGATGCAAAATTCCGATTCAATATACAAAAGTGTAATATTCCAATGAATCTGAATACATCAAAAAGATAACTTTGAAATCAGAAAATGTTTAGTTACCACCGCATTTTCCACACGTTTTCATGCAGTTTCTGCCCATCCATGCCTTGTATCTATCATTTGTACAATATCCAGCTCTCTCCCATGAACCACAGTTGCTGTACTTGTCTTTGCACGCTTTAACACGAAATTTGTCATTAAACTTCGTCACTTTTTCATCATTACGTCGCCTTAACACTTCGTCATTAAAAGAAAACTTGGCTAATTTTCAGCTGTTACTCTATATTTGAAAGCATAGTCTCCTTCTCATACAAAATATCTTTTTAGTCGACTACGAGCACGATTTCCTATCACAGGAAGTGTTTTTCAAATTTGCTTATTGTCAGGGAAATTGTAGACACTTACTAGCTTGACTGACACTAGAAAAACAAGACAAAAACAAGACTGACACTAGAAAAAGCCTTAAAGGCAGTATGTCCCCCATGGTTCTCAGAACCTCTTTTCATGGCCACGATATTCATGCATCGTCGATTCAATGCACAAATAAACAATGAGAATGAAGAACCACAATAGCGTAATTTCCCTGAGCATCACGAAGGGGCAGACTGCCTTTAAGAATAAAGACTCTTGTTACCAACCTCTTTTGTGTAAATCCTTTATAACGAACGCATCGTTTTATAAAAATTGATAAAAAGGTTCGATGAAAACTAGATTACCTGGAGCAGTTGTTGGGGGCGCTGTGCTTGCAGTTGTGGGTGGTGCTGTGGTGGCACCTTGTAATAGGAAAGATCAAGGAGGTTTATAGATATAAAAACCGGCGATCAAATAGTGCAAAATAGATTTAAAAGGTTTTACAAAAGTACTAAAGCTGTAGTCTTCTAAGAGAAAATGCTTTACTTTTTTCCTAATGCAGAAAAGATAGTAATTTGTTACGACCAGGAACTCTTAAAACTTCATATCTGTCTAATTTGTGCAGTTATTTAATGTACATTCACTTTGAAAAACACCACAAAAAAGAAATTTTAAATCTTTATCTTTAACTTTGACATTTTAAATTTATAACAAGAAAGTGATTTATAGCAACAAATGAATTCCAAAAAAGACCATAATCACAAAAATAGCAGCAAATATTCAAAACCATACAAAAAACTATCGCTTGCAATAAACTTGTTTCTTTAACCCATGCAGAAAAAGGTCATAGCTGACTAGAAATACTTGGCTTTGTTAATAATTTAAAGGCTCTTGCACAACCGGAATGCTTTGCGACTATATTTTCAAAACCGGTCTAACATCGTACTGCATACGAAACAAATAACATTTTTAAAGACAGCTTTCACTTTGCATTACGGTTGAGCAAGTGCATTTGAGAACTCACATAGACCGACATACTTTGACAATATAAACCAAACTAGATTATAAGGCAAGTTATGAACCTGGGCATTTGTTGCAACTTTTCTTGCAGTTCATCTCCATAAATCTTTTGTATCTGCTGTCCGTACAATATCCAGACTGTTTCCATTTTACACAACCAGTGTACTTGTCACTGCAAGCTATAATTTTAGAATTAAAGATTCACTCAAGAAATGTTTATTCAAAACATTGGCATGTTATTCGATTTAGTCTTAGATGTTTATGTTATTATCCACGGTTAGTAGCTGTTTATGTATATATCTATGTATATTTATCAAAACCATGTTTACGCAGACAATTAGGAATTGAATTTAGATTGAATTACTACTTTTTGCAGTATAGCGAATTTAGCTTACATGCAGCGGTTGTTGGTGGCTGGGTAGGAGCAGCGGTAGTTGCAGTTCCTAAAAGAAATAGAAGCAGGTTTTTGATTGCTGGTAGAAAGCGGACAATAAATTAATGATGAAAACTTAAAGACTCATTGCTAACAGTGAGCCATTGCGCTACGCAAGCATCCCATAATGCATTTTCAGACATTCTAAAATCAATTTTGGTTAAGCCGTAGAAGTTTACTGCCATTGTTTGGATCGTCGCCACGCTCGCAAAGGCCCATTGTTAGCAATGAGTCTTTAAAGGTCCTGCGACAAGTTATGATCACAATGTTGGTTCGCTTTTACGGTACAAAGATAGAATTATATGTATCTCAACCATTTCTAGGAAGGATCTAGCCGGAAATTTGTGATCTATTTAAAAATCTATTCGATGATTACTTCTTTATGATTTGAAAGCTAGTTTATTAATGTTTATCGACACAGATCTTTGTGAATATTCATTTATTACGCTCAGATTCCATTAGATGCTTAATTACCACAAAGACCACATGTCTTCTTGCAGTTCCTTGCCATCCATGATTTGTATCGGTCATTGGTGCAATATCCAGCCCGTCCCCATCCTGGACAATTACTGATGTACTTGTCCTTGCAGCCTAAAAAATCAAAACTTCATTTGTTCACTTGAAACTAAAAAAGCAAATGACAGGTAAGAACCATTTGGTGAAATTTGAAGAAAAATCCGAGTCAAATTACGTAGTCTTGAACCTCGTTACTTTATTCAAGTACAAATCTCCTAGAAATCATTTCAAACATTCTAGGTCGTTTTTCCACTCTTCTACTGAGAGATAAAAATGATAATTCTACAAATAATTTCTTCTAATAACCTTTCAAGCACTTGACAGTTGGCTCTTCTATTAACTTAAAATGAATGAAGTTTTTCACAATGAAACAAATTTTCCAAAATTTATCGACCAATAATAGCTACCAATAACTGGATAACAAAGTCAAGTTCCTTGTTTTTGCCGAATTTGAGGAGCAAAATTTTATATTTTCATGAAAAAAATAACGCCTATTAACCGCTCCATCGACTGAAAATAGAGATGATCTAGAAAGTTCACTAATAGATATTAGACATACCACTGCTTGATGTAGTTGCTGGGGCTTGTGTACTTGCTGGTGCTTGAGTGGTAGCACCTCCTCCACCTAAAACGTTAAAGTGATACCTAGATCATTAAGGAAAATTATTGAGCTTTCTCAGGTAATTAAGATATTTGTACTTTGATATAAGAATTTGCTTGACCAGGAGAGTGGCGTGTCAGTATCATTAATTTAAACATAACTGATACTAAGAGGCATTCTGAAGGAGAAGTTATGTCGATTTTGGTGCGACACATCTCGGAGCGATACCGGGAATACCCATGTACGGAATTGAAATCGGATTTAGGAAAATGGATACAAACACTTTTTAGGAAGAGAGATCCAATGTAGGCTATTCTTGGAATTATAATGCCGCATTGTTTATCTCCTTGCAAGTCAAAGATGCTGTTCAAGAACGACTGCGGAAAAGTGCGTTCCCCAAAGAGATTTGAGACCAATAAATGATTTTACAATCCTCTAGCAAACAGACGACGTTTCCGTCGGACTTTGTAGATTTTTCAAATGCCCTTTTAAGAAATATTACTTGCGTATGATTGATAGAAAATAAAGATATCAGACCTGAGCAGTAGAGGAGATTCATCTGTTTGACATCGTACTGACTGAATCCTCGTCTGTTACCAATCACATTTTGCTTGGAGGCATCTTTGGTCTGAATGGTCATCTTGCCAGATCCAAATGCAGTTTTACCATAGTGCATAACACTTTCGTAGTCATACGGAACGTTCATGCTGTCAATGTTGGAGGATGACTGCTTTCTAAAATTGTATTCCATTCCTTGCCAAGATTGAAATTATTAGTAATAGGAGTGGAAAAACGAAAAGTTTATCTTTTATCTATAATGTTGAATTTTATACTATGAAGTATCAAATTATCACCGGAAAGCGATTAACATCTTATAGGGCATATTCACAAAGCTTTGTTCCAATTAGAAAAGTGATAGAATCGGTTCAGCAGATCCAGCCGATAATAGGTGTGATACGAATGTACCTTTTAATAGAAACCAAGCTTCTGGAAGACTTTCAAGCATGTGTATCTGTTACTTTTTCCACCAAATACCACAAGAATTATTAAAGGCAATCTGTCACGACGTTGATTGGTTATAAGAACAAAGGGATTTTTATTGTTTCCAGTCCCCCTTTAATTTATCGCATTGTAAAAAATATGGCGGAGCGCTGGAATCGTGTTTAGGCTATTGTTCCAGCTATTGTTCTCGTTAACAAATCCACAACGAGACAGATTGCCTTTAAATGATAGCCCCCTTAACAAGGAGTTTAGTTAAGACTGGACAATTATTTTATGTAAGATAGACCAGATGTTTGGGAAATTCATACCTCTGGCAATGTTGTTCCAAAGGATAGTGACGTAATTATCTCTGTCTGGCCTGCTTTGCTCGTGGTAAAACCCTAAACTGTGTGCAATCTCATGCATAACGATGCCTTTGTGCCAACATCCAGAAGCCAATGAAATTCTGTTTGCTCTGCGGTAGTAGCCAACAGGCGAAGAGCATCTACGTAAGAGACAATATATTCATATGCGCAGTTTTACTTGCAAATATACATCACTTACCGTGTATTTAGCATCCTTTTGCCAGTATAACTATTATAACCTCTTCTTCTTCTCTATCTATTGCAGGGAAGATGCGTGAAGAAGATAGATGCGTGTATATAAACGTAGACACAGCCCAACCATTGAGCGCGCTTTTCTACAAGATGAAATTCAGAAAACTAAAACTAATATTCTGAATCTAAAACGTTTATATACACGCCAATGGTCTAAAACGCGTCCGTTTCTCACATTCTTTGACAATTTTCGACTTTGCCGCTACCTTTCTGAAATTGACCAGCGGAAGCTAAAACAGACTACAGAAAATCATGATAGGAACATTGGCATGCTAGTTAGGAAACGTTTTGGCGGCTTGATGAGCGATTCAAAAAAACATATTTCTAATTTGTCGGACTATTCTCTCTCTGAAACCGAAACATTTGTCTTAGGTAATGGTCTTGAGTTTTGTATCCCACCACAACGAATAAACAGAGAGGAACTTTTTGCTGAATTCGAAATTTTACACGCTCAACTTGCCAGACACGATATTTCTGATGCTTTGGAATTTAACAAATTACGAGCACGACTAAGCGATTTGGCGTACGCTTACAGCGGCTCTCCCATCGACCACTCAGATTTTCTTTTGCATAGAGAACATTTTCAAGCACTTAAATCTCTACGGGCTAACAATGACATCTTTATTACAAAACCTGATAAAGGGTCTGGAGTGGTAATTTTGAACAAAAAGGACTACATCCAAAAAATGGAGAATATTCTCCTCGACAAAGAAAAGTTCGAAAAATTGGGTGACGTCGAAACACAGGATAAAACGGCCAAGCTAGAGCGGAAACTTCAAAAACGCCTTTTGGAGCTGGTTAACTCAAAAGTGTTGACCAACAAAGTTTATGATAGGATAAGACCCACAGGTTCACAACGTCCACAAATGTATGGCCTCCCTAAAATACACAAGCCGAATGTTCCACTTAGACCCATTTTGTCTATGATTGGCTCAGCACAACACGAACTGGCTAAGTGGCTTTCTGAAGTTTTGGACCCTGTTCTTCAAAATATTCAAAACATTGTATCAAGGACTCTTTTACGTTCGCTGAGTTCATGCAAAACTTGAACATCGAAAACGAAACATCTTTTTCATGTGTTCTTTCGACATTAGCAGTCTTTTCACAAATGTCCCTTTGAGTGAGACCGTCAAAATATGTGCCGACGCTTTGTACCGGAGCGAGCTTAATAGCCCACCATTCCCAGAGGAAGTATTCATTGAACTGATGGAAACTGCAACACGTTCAGTTGAATTCAGCTTTAACAATGAAATGTACCAACAAAAGGATGGTGTCGCTATGGGTAGCCCTCTGGGACCTGCCTTGGCCAATATCTTTGTTGGCTTTCATGAAGAGCGTTTGTTTGACAGCGACCAAAAGCCAGGTGTCTATTTTCGGTATGTGGATGACACATATACTATTTTCAAAACAGAGGCTGAGTGTGATACTTTCCAAAAACGCCTTAATGGCCTTCACACAGCCCTACATTTTACATTTTAAAAGGAAGAAAATAACTCCATGCCATTTCTGGATGTTTTGGTTGAAAAATCTGACACTGGATTTCTCACTAGTGTATACCGTAAACCCACATTTTCGGGGTTATGCACTCGATGGAGTTCGTTTTGCCCAAAACAAAGAAAAATCAGCCTCATCAAAACGCTTACACATAGGGCACTGATGATTTGTTCCAAGTCTAAACTCGACTCGGAACTTGAAAAACTAACTAAGATTTTTCTGGAGAACGGCTATCCAGAAGATGTTATTTCAGTTTACATTAAGGAGAAGATAGAAAATTTCTCGGCTGACGTAAAATTTGGTCCTCAAAAGTGCCCTGTCTATCTAAAACTACCCTGGATCGGTAACAGCTCCCTACGTTTTGAAAGCCAAATAAAACAGGCCATATCAAATTGTTTCTTCGCGGTCAACCCACGTGTTGTTTATAGTACGAAAAAGGCCTTTCCGTCCATTCAAAAGGACTGCGTTCCTGCCACAAAAAAGTTCTGTTGTTTATGAATTTACGTGCCAGTGTGATTCTGGCTACGTAGGACGCACCACCCAAAGATTGGAGGATAGGGTAAAGCAACATGTTCCATCTAATATTAGAAACACAACCCATCCCCAAAGAGAACAGCCACCTCGGTCTTGCAAATCTAAAATTACAACTAAAACCTGCGATTCTGCTATCGGGCAGCATTTGCTAGAAAACCCAGATTGTGCAAAAAACTATAATGGCGACATGTTTCGGATTATTGGTAAAGCCCGATCGTCGTTCCACCTAGCAGTTTTAGAATCTATCTACATAAGCACGAAAAAACCGCTACTGAGTAGACAAAAGGAGTTCGTTTTCACCTTAGGACTCCACTGGTAACATTCTATAGCCAAGCAGCACTGATTGGTCAACCTTTACAGTCATGTGCTCTGTTTCTGATTGGCTTATTTCGATCCACAACTGGGTATAAATATTTCTTAGCGTAGAGTTTTCGATCTATGTTCTGACGTTTTAAACTCTGAAGAGTGTCAGACGAAAAGCTTTAGTTTACTAAATGTTTGCTTTTTTCGAAGTGATTTGTGTCGATTGAAGTGATTGGTGTTGACTGAAGTGATTTGTGTCGATTGAAGTGATTGGTGTTGACTGAAGTGATTGGTGTCGATTGAAGTGATTGCTGTTGACTGTAGTGACTGGTGTCGACTGAAGTGATTACAATTGAATTATCGGGCAGGTATCATAGGAGGAAAGATTTGAGATGTGCTTTAGGCTGTCGAATTTAAAACAAAATCATGAAAAATCCACTCTTACCCTCCTCCCTTGTAAAAGTGGAGATAGCCAGGTTCATTGGTTCTTCTCACGAACCTCAAACAGGTTAGCCTTTGGTAGTCGGCAATTGCTGCGTTGATTGCTGACATAGCCGTTGACGACGAAGCTATGAAATGGGAAAAACATAGTTACAATTATCAATTAAATCCATATTTATCCAAAACAAAATTGCTACAAGGACATTGGCTATTTTCAAAGTTACAAAGTATATAAGACATTATTGTTTTCATGTTATAAGTATTATGAAACTGTCATCATTAAAGAATGAAAGCAATCGATAAAGACAAAAGAATTTGAAACAAGGTGCACAACATACCAATTGAAGATTCCATACTGTATGGAATCGTGGTAGGCCATAAGTTTGTCTTTGTGGCTGCAAGTGGAATCTGGTAGTTGGGAGAACCGTATAGGAAATCTTGCTTCTGTTCCTCAGTAAGGATCATGTCACCTTCAAACATGCCTGAATCTGGAAAAACGAGAGAAGCAAATCTAATGACCTTTATTTAAGATACTAAATCTTAAAAGGTTCCTAAATGTAAAAAATTAGTAATTTGGTTTACAGATCAGAATTTGACAAGAAAATGTGCAATTTTTAAATTCTACTATTAAACGAACATTCAATAGGTTCTTAAAAGACTGAACAGAAAATTCTGTTGTCAACTAAATAGCAAAGTGTTTTAAAAAAATCTTTTCATAATGAAAGTTTTTGAACTGATCTAAAATAAGTTTATTTTGTGTAAAAGTATTCATTTGAATTTTGATTCGTCTTGTCAGTGGATTGTAAAATTTGCAATTCTTAAGCAAAAAATGGTAATCAGTATTTATATATCTTTATTAAGCTGAAAACCCACTCCGGAAAATGATCCGCGGATCGGATCAGATCGTGTTGCTCTTTCGATCCGTGGATCTTTTCAGATTGGAATGCACGTTGACACAAAACAAAAGAACACAAAACCTGATCCGATCCGCGGCTATAGTTTTCGGCTAAAGTCTTGAGTCTTGGATAATATTGCTAAATATATTTTCAACTAGTCTGCACCTCAAGTATGTCTTGGGTTTCAGAGAAGGATGATTCTTAGCTTACAATGAAAATCATCTGAAAAATTATTTTTGAAAATCAGCAGTGATAAACTAATAAGTTGCCAAATAATTGAGGATAATACTTACTTTCCATGGGCTCACTGCAAAATGCTGCAGCAGCACAAAGGCTGAGTACAAGCCAAGAAAGAGCTGCCATCTTTAGAAAATTATCTTGACTACAAACTGCCAAGTGAAAGAAACACTTTTTGTACGTATTTTTATACCCATTTTTGTTTGCCCTTTTCTTTGCGTAGTTCGCCGACTCTTAGAGGGCGTTGACAATAGTAAAAGCGGGCAAAAATAACAAAGAACCCAAGAAAACAGGAAATTTGTGTATACAGGTGGCTGTGAGTGATATCTTCAGCAAAGAGTTACTTCAGAATTAGTTTATTATGTTCCAGCTTTTCAAACAAAACTCTTGAGGAAATTTATTTTCTTGCTATTAGCAGAAGTAGATATTACGATATGTTCGAATATGATGAATCAATCTTTTCTTCCAGATTTTCAATTGCTGTTTTCTTATATCAATGTCTCAATATTAGCTGCAGCTATTGGAAAAATCTTCAGTGTATTGACGTGCTTGATGCCACCCTCGTTTTTTGCATTTTCATTTTACTGACATATTCTCTTAAACCATGATTTGCTCTCGTGCCATTCTCGTTTAAATACTCATTTGAAAAAGAGTCACTTGTAGCAAGTCCAATGTATTTGTTTGCAAAAACCTACTTAGCTCCTAAGGTGGTTTTTAGGGTACTTTGCTTATCATGTCCAGGTCGTGACTGGAATTATTGACGTCATTGGAAATACTGAGAGATGGCGATTCTCTTCATTCAAATAAAAGTTTAATCATAGCAATAACTCAAAATCTTACACCCTTGGTCTTCTTTGCGCTAACCATCAAGATATCCTTACACCCAGTTGTTGGTTAGTTGCTTAAAAAACCATCTTTTTAAAACATTTGTTGAAAAATAGCTGACGCAATTAAAAAATGCATTTAAAGCAAGAGCTTTACGTTTTAATGCTAAATTTTTGTCTTAATATAAAGAATTTTCTCCGAGCCGAATATATAATAAATTGCAAATACACAATTGGATAATAATCTGAATATTTCAAGGTACCAGGACTCTTGAAGTTACATATGTGGAGATAGATATAAGGTTTTCAAGCATTGAGGGTACTGCAACACTTATTGTTATTAAAGACTATATTTGTGATGCAATCTTGAAATATTTAACAAAAATATGCTTAAAATACTTTTAAATAGATTTTCAGTACAAAAATTCAGTAAAACGATTTCGCTAAGCAAGTCAAGTATAGCAAAGGATGGGCTAACTTGAAGTAGTGACAAAGAGACTACGAAAGTGATACATGGAAGCTGAGAGCGAACGGTGCTCTTTTTCTCACGAGAAAAGATAAAGAGACATATTTTTGTTAGAATTGGCTATACAACGGAATGTTCAGAAGCAAACCTAAATATAAAATCAAAGCTTTCCTTTAAAAAGAACAGAATGAATAAATGGCGGACTGAACGATATATTTTACTTTAGATCCCTGTTATCAAAGTTAAAGGTATGTTTACAAAGCTGTAATATGTCCTTTAGTTAATGGTATTTTATAAAGCCGTTGCTAATGATTTTGAACCTATAGCTATATTTACAAAGCTGCAATATGTCATTTAGTTAAGGGTGTTTTATAATACCGTTGATAATGATTTTAAACCTTTAGCTATATTTACAAAGCTGCAATATGTCATTTAGTTAAGGGTGTTTTATAATGCCGTTGATAATGATTTTAAACCTATAGCTATATTTACAAAGCTGTAATATATCCCTTAATCAACTGCCTCTTATGATACGTACAAAATTTGATTGACAACAGCTAAATACATATTTACAAGTCCTTATCTCTTTAAATGAAGATACGGGCAAAAATTTAAGAGGTAAACTAGTTTTAACGAAATCTGTTTGCAAAATAGCCTCTTCAACTGTTTGCTTAGTTAACGAAATATAAAGGAAAACTTCCTTTACAAAATTCTTATCTTTGCAGAGATAAGCATATTTCGTGAATTACTTATTGTGTTCATCATTGATAGGGTTCTGATTGTTACAATTTCCTATCTAGCCTTAAACGGAATCTCCCCTCCTTATATAATGCGCCCAAGTTTGATGGTCATGGAACAAAAGAAGATGAACTTTTGATGAAGCTGACAATGTTAAGGATCATCAAGCTTGCATTCAAATAGTTCAATAATGATATTTTACGGTTATTTTCTTACTTTTTCCTGTCCTTTTTTCACACGTATAGAGCCAAACCTCCGCCTTTATCGATACAAATATAACAAAACAACATTCAATTGAAGATCTACCTTTCACATCTTTTCTGTTTTACACCGTCTTCTCTTCAAAGTTACTAGCAGCCCATTCCCAAATTGTTCCTCAGTAAAATGTTACTTACAAAACACAGTATAAACCAACGATGAAAAAGATGCTAATAAAAGTATGCTTGTTTCAAGAAATCTATAAACTTGTCAAAACTGCAATTTAACACAGAAAGATTTTAGTTCAAAACAAGGCTGCTTTTTTCCAACAACATCCCGCAAATGAGGTTTCGACCATGCCTTTGCAAAAAGCGTTTCACTAAGAAAATTTTTTTGTGTGGCCCGTTTAGAGAAGGACTAAAATTTACTACTGAAGAAATCCCGCCGTTATTCCACTGATAATCTTTTAGTCCAAAATTTGGCTTCGTTTCTCTCTTTCAGCACGAAAAATTTTTTCAAAAATAATTTAAAAATGCTTATCCTCTAACTATATAGTTTGCATCACATGTTGCTATCGTTTATGTCTACCACAATCAAACAAAATCCGAACCTTTTCGGAACCATGGCTATACATAGCAGAGAGGGGCGAGGGGTAGTTGACCCTTAGAAATTATGAAGGCTGGGTGTTTAAACTGTTTCAAAATCTGCATGTAGTACATCATTAGGGCATGTGCTTCAGATTCAAAGAATCTAAACTAGAACCAAATTGTGTTGACACGTTTTTATAACCACGTTTTTCATTACCAGTACATCGAAAATGAACAACCTCAACGTGGGCAAAATTTAAAAATTACATAAAAGTTTTGATATAATACAAACTGACAGCCCCCAAAAATGAAAAGGAAGCGAGAGACGACCTTTGCAGCTTAGAAATGTCAATTTACCATATCGCTTCGCCAGAACTCTACTGAAATAAATACCCTCTCACATTATCGCAAATTTTATGCAAGGAATGACAAGAGTAGATAGTTTCATAAATGATCATTATAAACAACCAATAGATTTACAAGGCTACAAGTCCAAAAAGCGACTTTTTAAGAGACGAAATCAGAAACGTGAAAATTATTCGAGACCTTTGATGACATTAGGAAAACAACAAGAATTGCAGCAGTCAGAGAAGATGAAATTGCCCAATCTGCTAAGAGTTAGAGAAAAAAAAAATGATATTTATGATAGAGTTGACGATAAATTTACAGATTTTCAATTGCCCAATCAAAAAGTCCAGGCCTACGTAAAAATCTACTGTAACAATGTTATGCCCTGACTGATGGGAATTTAGATGAAGAGCCATCACAGCATCTGGACATTTGTAACTGGCATTTATAGCAACTTTTGCAGTGTTCATCCATTGAGAATTTATAACAGGGCACAGCTTCGACGAGATAAACAATGGTTATTGACAAACTGGTTATGAGTTATGGACTTAGAAAAGGAAGACCGACGATTGCCTTGGGAGGATGAAGAGGTTATTTTGTTGATTGGCATTTAGCCAGTTGATAAAGTCAGCAAGCATTAGATTGTTGTTCCCGAAAGAAGCCATTTCTGTGCAAATAGCGAAAAAGGTGGATATTTTTTTGATACAACCATATCAAAGAAAGGGTTCAAGTAGCTGAAACATAAATATAAGAAAAACATGATAGCTACAACTTGCTGGCGAAATCAAAAGACCCCGTAGAGATTTCCTTACAGATGCCTCTCCAAACAGTTTTCCTCCCCATGTGAAGTGCTTTACCCAGGCTTTTTTAGCGATAGAACTCCATAAACTTTCATTTTTTTGCTTACACCACGCTGAAGTAACAAAATGCGAGCGCGGTTCGTGATCCCAATTTTAATTAACCTAGCAATGCACGTTTGAATGGAAACTCGATTTCTTGTTGCCATTTTTCCTGCATAATATCAGCATTTTAACCTGGGGCGACCTGGGTTAGTTAGTGTCGAATTAAAAGGGTTTTAGATTACTTTTCCTGTCTTAAATTATCATTTAATCGCTCATTTTATTACAATACAAAATTACATAAACTTGAGGTTTTTCGCAAGGGTCGATACTGTTTGCGGTACTTGCTTGTGACCTTCGGAAGTGTACGCCTTGTATAACTGCTCAGAAACTTTTTTCATTATATCTTCTAAAGGCAAGGAAAGGTTACCTCTGATTACCTCACACAGCATATCGATGAACCAAGACCCATCAACCTCGCTCCTCCAGGAGGTGTAGCCTGTTGAGAGAAGAGAAGAGTTAAAATAGAGCTCTTTGGTTTGAATAAACAATTCTCTTCCATGTTATCTATTCATGACAAGATAACATGGAAGAGAACCATAAAATACCTCTCTCGCTGCAAAATCAGTTTAATCTACGGAAAATGGACTGAGATGAAGCAGGTGAGAAAACAAGGTGTACTAAAGGAATTTCATTAATTTTGCTTGCTTCATTTTCCAGATGAAAAACACAGAGAGCCCATTGGAGAGATTAAGTTCGAATTTGAAACACATACACTTAAATATAGTGTACTTTCAGAAAATTCAAAAATTCATGATATAGATTTATAAGTCCTCTTAACATTGTGATGATTTATTAATGGCAAATCAGCAACGATGTAAGGGGATTCCGTAAAAAAGTCAACAATTATATTACGCAATAACAGGCATTCTAATGACATTTGAGATGGCAGAAGCTCCATGTGCCGAAAGAATTCATAGCTTGGGAGATGTTTTAGAAAAATGACTCAGAAAAAGGGGTCAGTTTCGCTTCTGTGGATGAGCAAGAAGTTCTTTGTATGCCAACCTTGTAATTCACCAGCCGGGGTTTATCGCGTGTATATGACTGCGTTTAATAGATTTAAAAATATTTTTGTGGATTTAGATATTTTCAAATCATTTGACTTACGGCTTGAGGGATAGTGAGTCTAGATCTAAATATGCTGACGATATAACATCAAAATTTAAAAGCGAATTGTAGGTTTGAAGAAAGAGCCAATACTTTTAACGAAATTTTGAACATGGAACATTACTTAGCGAAACCTTATATCGTACAATATGCAATTGTGTATATTTATGCAACAAATGGGCTAGCTTGACCTTCACTAGGCCCCTTTCACATCTTTTCCAGAATTAGGTTCTAACGAAGGTTTATTTGTATATCGAAAAAATTCGAGGGGGTTCTTAATATCTGATGATAACTAGCTGACCCGTCAAAATCAGGCGATCTTGTGCAAAATGTTGGAAAATACCCTTGGGTAACAATCACATACCCAAGCCTAAATTGATGAAAAAATCAAAGCTTACAAGAAATAATTAAATATGTGGCCTGGTACCAAGTACTCGACTAGCTCATTGAACTTTCTTAATATAATATAAAAGCAGTTTTAAATTATACATCTGGATGATAAAATTGTTCGCAAAATCAATTTTTCTTACCAGATGACATTATTTGTATTACATAATCCCATAGAACATGGTTGGCTTTTTTTACACCAGTCATATCTCTACCAGTCATATCTTGCAGTAACAAATCAATGAAAAGAGCCTTTACTGTATTACCAATTGTTTATTTCAGTCCTTGCCTGAGTATAACATGGTATGCAGGAAAAAAAACCAACCAGAGAAAATATCACATTAACAGCAGTAAATTACCTGAAGGAGTCGCAAAGGCCAGAAAAAAATCTGGTTTATTGGGAAATTCCTCTATGTTTATTGATGGAGTGATACTGGTTTTATATACACCATCTATATCATCACCACGGCAACACTGCACAAACAACACCTTTGGTTTGTCTTGAAGGCTAGGACACCTTTCGAGGAGATCAACCACGGCACCAATAGGTAATATATCACCATCAATGCCATAAACCCCATCCCGACATCCATGACTTAAAATGAATGTTATAAAACAATCAAAAGGTGCATGATTTAAATTAGCAAACAGCTCAAAAATTGAAAACATCTCCTTAGCAGTTTTATTTTCGCGCTTTTCCACCTTGAACTTTAAACTGCTGAAAATGTCTTCCAAACTACGGACATCTACAGCAGAGCTTTTTCTGTCATCAAGATTTAAACAATATCCATCATCATGGCTCATTCTGGTGGCTTTGAAATCTTCATTGCTAATTATCAAGCAATAGCCATGTGGATCACTATCCATTCGATAAAAACCTGCATCACTGTACACTGCAAATGGGAGCTCTGTTTCTTGGTTGCTTTCTGACACGCCATATACAATTGCCTCATTTCCATCAGTAGGTATTTCAATACAATAATCAAGATCGTCTGTTGGTGATTTGCTGTTGGAATCCTGATTTTTTTTCGTAAAAATGCCTGGTGGATCCAGTTTCTTTGATTTCTGATGCACACTGCTAATTTTTCCGCCTAAATTAGAGAAAATCAACAACATTTGATTAAAACTCTTCTACAATGTATTATTCAATATTGACAGAAATCAGAAATCAGTCAATATTGAATTTATGTACACGTGCAGGGTCAGTGTTGTGCTGCATGCTGAACTTTGAAATGTCATACTGACAAAAAATTGACACTAAAATGTAAAAACTGTTCGCATGCAATGTGATTGGTATAGGAAAAGTCACACGCGGAAACTTGCTTGAAATAACTGTGCACACGTGACATGCCTGCGAAAAACTACTCTGTAGACTGCCAGATTAATATGATGCGTATCGTCAACAAAAAGTCCCTTTTTTTGGAAAAAAGGATTATGCAGCAGTAGAAACTTGGCGTCTGAATTTTCCCATGGAATTTGATACACAAGGCTATGAAGTCAAATTGCAAGTATCATTTTCATTTCCTTGGTAATAAATAATTTTCTGGGTATTTCTTATGTAGATAGAATTTAGAAATAATATCACAGTTTGCACTTGTTTGAAAATAGATTGTAACTTTTCTGAATTGGAAATGAAAACTCGCTCACCTTTTCCTCTTTCCTGCATAGGATCAGAAGTTTTCTTCATATTTTCAATGAACCTGGTGGTTTCTCCAGATAAATCATGCCTACGTATATCTTTTAATATTTCTGACAAATTTTCAAGACCATCAGGACAATAGGAAATAAACCCATGGACAAGAAAAGCTTTCATTAACTGTGTACCATCAGATATTTTTTCACAATCACCATCTGAAATGGATTGTAGAGATTAAATCAATCCAAAACGGGACACCAGAGAAATCCTTAGATTTTTTGTGATGTTATGTTTTCTTAAATCATGTATGTAAATAATTCAATAATTCAAGTAGCTGCGATGTGATTTAAATCAAAAGCTGATCACTAGATCAAGAGACATTTAAAAACAAATTCATTTTCCAGGATATCATGTATTACAAAAAACATTGGTTATAGTCTATTTGGGTGGTTGAGAAAAAATAAATGGAGTGAAAATAATGATATCAGAATTGACATAATGAAAATAAGATGACTTTTAAATGGATGAATAAAAATAGATAAATAAGGATAAAGCAATAGAGACATAGAAAAATAGATTTTATAGATGTCAGTGTTCTTGCGATAAGAACCACACCCTGAAAACATCATAAGTACCACATTTATAAGAACCTAGTCAGTCTTTAGAAAAGTAAGTTCCTGTCTGCGGGGTTTTACTGTATCGATAAAAAGTTGATACTTGTCAAAAAGTCTATTACAGATCCATCAGTGTCTTATCAGAGATTTTAAAGATTTTAAGTGAATCATTAGTAAACAAATAAGCCAGTAATTTGTGATTAAAATATCTGCCTTTCTATCTTTGGTTCAGTTTCTGCAGAAGTTCTTAAAGATTGGATTAAAGTTGCCTGACAAACTGAAACAAAATCAAAGATAATTCAAATGGTGTACCACATAAGTGCATTTTTAAACAATTAATATTCAACATTTTATAATAATAATAAAAATGATAATGATGAAAACATTTTTAGTTTATATTCTTCTACTTACAACAGTAAGCTCACTTTACAGGTAGTTGCAGCTAGCCTGGTGACAAGTCTACTAATTTTACAAAAGTTATAACATATAAATAAAATCATAGTGCAAAAAAGAAGGAGAGCAGTTCAGGGAGCTTTAGAAGGAGAGCAGTTCAGGGGTTTTTCCAAGTCTTATTGCGCATACAGAATATATAATAAGATGTGCATATAATTATTGTTGACAGTTTTTTAATTATAGAATTATGGTGTCAACACCAACTGGTAATCAAGTTTTAGTTTGTCACAAATATGGATGAAAGAATCACAGGAGTTACCAAAGATACCAAGACAGCTGATGGATATTCCTGAAAGATTGACTTTGACTAGAAGGAATATTCCAGTGCCAAGCTACGACAGTCCTTGATGTAACAGACCCTTCCTAACATACAAACTATTGCCTGTTGCTATTTGTTTATGGGAACAGACTGACAGTCCCATTTGACTTAGAAAAGCCATGTGATCTTTTCAATGAAAAGATTTCCATATTCATTCTATTTAAAGTTATGCTACAGGTTTTAGAAAAATAAAATCCAATCGCAATACATAAAGCTCTGTTTACAGTCATAGGCCACATACAGAGAGTTGTCCAGGCAATATTTGTTGCTACTATACTGGAGTCCACTGTACTGACTTGGACATGTGACCTTCATCCAGAAGTGGCTCACCAAGATACTGTGTATTAAGCACAGGTCAGTATAAGGCAGGTTAAATCTTGTAGGTAAAAACTAGTAAGCCAAAACTAGTGCACAAGATTTTAGGCTTATAGATGCTTTTATAAAAATGGGAAAAGGCCATATGTTGAGAGGAAAATAACAGAGAACCAACCCATTTGAGCTACACTTCCAGTTGCAATCAAAATTGAAGTCCCAGCAGTGAAAGTAAAAAATTTATTTCCTTGGCAAAATCTATGAAACTTGGTATTTGTGGTACATAACACTCTGCCTACTGTAACAGTTTTGTTCTGTTCTAAATACAGAACAGCTGTTGCGTGGAACCTTATTGAAGAACTCAAAAGGAGATCACTTTGGAACACAAACTGATAACCTTTTAGCTAGTGACTACGACTACAGATCACCAATTAAAAGGCAGTGATAAAAAGCAGCAAAATGTTGGAAACATGATTTTGAGTGACTTCCATAAAAAAGGGATCGACTGAAAGTTTTAAACAGGTTATTGGGATTGTAAATTAGGACTTTAGGTTTATTAAGTTTTAATTTTTTCTCAAACCTTACTATTTGTAGGTATACATCGAGTTTTCTTGGAACTCAGATAATTCGCTAGACAGTTCGCATAACTTATAATTACCTGGAATGTCGCTAACAAATTTCAAAGCTTCTATATTCTTCGACGACAACTTTTTACTTAGATCATGAAGAAAATTCTTGTAAACCTTCTCACGACCATCATAAAAGACAGATTTGTCTGTTTCCATCTTTTCCAGACTTCCGTCTTAGGTCAAGTTTCGGTATGTCAAGGAATATCCAACATGCAGTTGTTGTTGTTTTCCACAGAGGAGTGGGGCGGGGCCGTGGGTGTTTGGGCGGGGTCGTGGGTATATGTGTGAATGAAGAAAAGGTCACTGTAGCAGGCTGCTCGACGGGCTCCAAGGAGTTCTTGCGGCGAAAGGTCGATACAAATGTAGCAAACAAGAAACACCGCAATACGCCGAGAATACACAACAATAAAGACATGGAAATCAGTAAAGGCTAATGAGGTATACCCCACCACGCCAACACCAACACCACACCATAACTCATAACATAGTTACGCCAAAATAGAAAGCTCGTTAAAGCTTGATTAAATGAAATTTAATCACGTTTGATATGTGACAGGGTACGCCTTTTAGGTGCCCCTTTAGACAGGACATATAGCCTGACAATCTGACATTCAAGCTAATGTTTGCTTTCTCAACGGATTCTGGTAGAAGGGAGTTCAGGCTTTCATAATCTGCCAGGTGATTTTTTTGAAAATGCCTGGATGTCACGTGACTGATGAAGTCATTTTACGGCAAAAAGTCAGAGAAAATCATCGTTAGCTCCTCACTGAAGGGTTATTTTTTAACACAACTTACATATTTTGACTCGTCTCATTGCAAGCTTTCAAATGGTATATATTTAGGCAATATTTACCGCCATAAATATTTTCATTTTGACGTCATTACAAATTTTGCATGACGTCATCAAATATTTTATTGTCATAAAATGATACGTTAGCATAATTTTGTTTTAATATGACGCTGGCTGTCAGCAAAACTTTTCTTCCATATGTTTTTCAATCAAAATAATTAGTACTTAGTTCATTTAAATTGAATTTGTGCCAACCGCAATAGCCAAAGTTTAAATAAAGAAGTCGTTACTATCTGACGAGTGAGTCACTTCTTCCTCCGAAGTTGCAATGTCTTGCTCCCACTTTGAACCGGACAATGATTTCTCTGTATCCGCATTTGAATGTTACACTAAATCGGAAGAATTTCTTGGCAATATAGGCTATCCAAGATGTCCTACCGATGTGCTGAAGGTGCATGACTTTTTTCAATAAGGCCATCTCATAAATAAAATACTCCATCTGGCATTTTTCTGATGGTGGATTTATATGTGGATTTGGCTCCTTACACATGAAATTAAGAAGAACAGCTTTATCTCCTTGTCACAGTTCACCTTCAGGAGTTGCAAGTCTAGAGTTATGGTTTTGACCGGATATGAAAATGCCTTTTCGATAGAAGCAGCCTTGCCAATCATGAAAGCTTGGTGGTCTTCGTTCATTATTGAGACTGCTTTTGCTGTTTTCTTGGATCTTTGTGCCCCAGAATGCAATACTTTCGTTTCTAGCAACAACCTACAATTCGAGCAAAATAGCTCATTTCTTCGAAATATTTCTTCCATGTTAGCGCTAGTGTCATCAGTCCGTGAGAACATTTTGTAAAAACGCCACCAGAAAACGCCAGATGGAGATTTGTTGAGACGGCCTGAGTTCGTAGCATCAAACCCAAAGAAACATTCAGTGTTTGGTCCAAGAACATTCATGGATGTGCTAATCCTCCTCATGAGGCTAAAGCAATGAAAGTGGAAACAAAGTCAACGCTAAATATTTAGAAACAGCACACGAGCAAGCAAACGACAAAAGAGAGTCATCAAGGCAAGTGCATATAAAAAGTGGAGAGCAAAAGATACTACAAAGTAAGAAGAGTATTTTTACATTGATGAAAAAAAGAGAATCTTATGAGACTTGCTCCCGAATTCTTTCGAAGCGCTGAGGGTCACAGGCCCCTGACAATTCCATTTATCGTAGCTTAAGGAGGAGAAGCATCGGAGACTTCAAAAAGCAAGTAGAAGTCCCTCCAAGATGTAACCACAAAAAGTCGGAAACCAGAATATTTTGCATGGTAACTCGAAAGATGCAAAAGTAGTTGCTGTTGCAAAAGATACTGATTTATGTGTGCTGCTTGTTCATGCAACACAGAAGTGCAAACCCACAAATTAGTGGTTTATGTGCATAAATAAAAAACAAATCGTCAAGATTTGAGGCCTCGCTGAAACTTTTGGTTCCAAAATTTGCTGTATTTTATCACAGATTAATGGAATTATGGGCTGAGACAATTGCATATAAGCACAACATTGATAAGGTTACTGTGAAAAAAGCTAACGAGGAACCAGAAACAAGTCATCATTAAAAGTCTCTCCGAAGGAGTTACCGCAAAAGCGAAGACATTTGTGAAACAGCAGAATATAGTGGAACAACATATAAAAGCTATTTAGGGACAAAGATATTTATCAAATCTGAAAAAAATCATCTGCAGCAGTTCCAGCAGATCCATAATCACTCAATCAGAAAAGAATTAAATTGTATCAATTTAACAAGGTTATTTTGGCTACACTGTTTAGATGCAACTACTACAAGACATGTCCCAAAAGCCTGATGTTGAAATTTGGACGACATACTCGACCGTTTAAAGTCTAAATGGTTCACAGGAAAGCAGCTTCCTCATCTCCGAGAGCTTCCTTTACATCACAAGAATATGAAGGTGACGCAGGAGATGAATTTACCCATGAAGAAAATCATACACTTTCATACCCAGCGCTAAAGACCTATAGTGCGAAGACATCTTGGACAGCCTATAATAGTGCGAAGATATTTTCCGACTTAGCAACAGTCGACTTCGGAGTAAGAAGTGACTCACTCGTCAGATAGTGACTACTACCTGTTTCGAACTTTGGCTATTGCGGTTGGCACAAATTCAATTTAAATGAACTAAGTACTAATTATTTTGATTGAAAAACATATGGAAGAAAAGTTTTGCTGACAGCTAGCGTCATATTAAAACAAAATTATGCTAACGTATAATTTTATGACAATAAAATATTTGATGCCGTCATGCAAAATTTGTTATGACGTCATAATGAAAATACTTATGTCGGCAAATCTTGCTTAAATATATATCATTTGAAAGCTTGCAATGAGACGAGTCAAAATATGTAAATTGCGTTAAAAAATAACCCTTCAGTGAGGAGCTAACGATGATTTTGTCTTAATTTTTTACCGTTAAATGGACGTCATCAGTCACCTGGCAGATTATGAAAGCCTGAACTCCCTTCTACCAGAATCCGTTGAGAAAGCAAACATTAGCTTGAATGTCAGATTGTCAGGCTATATGTCCTGTTCACTTGGGCTTTTGTTTTTGGGCACAGATTGCACAATTTTGGAGTTTGTGTTTATTGTAGCAGTGCTCGAGTAAGCTTTACATTGTGTTTTTTATACGGCTAAAGCAACCAGCGTGCAAGTGTGCATTGGCCTTGGGTATATAAACTTTGTCTTAGCACAGTTTCATTCTCACACGTTGCACGACAACAGGAAGTTGGACTTTGGAGAGGAAAGGTTTTTCCTTTGCGAAACCTCGATGCAAGTAGGCTATTTTATTTTTTACTTGACGTCTCGATGAGAGCTAGCTATGAGCTGAGTCAAACGGTGACTCGCCAGATATGCGCTCCTCTACAGATTAATCAGGAATGTTTTTGAGCTATTTCATGTAATGCTTTGGTGTTTTGGCAATTTCTCCTGGTATAAGTTTGAGTTGGAGTTTTCCAATGATATATCCACATCAATATTTTAACGATGTCAGCAATTTTCAATGTAACGTCATCACTTTCGAAATGGCCGTCGAACAGTACATTTTAAACAAAAGCTCTGATCTAATCAACTGCATTTCTGGATCGTTTTGTGGCAATGTTTTGTCAGGTAATTATTCTGCATCACTCAATTTAACATTTAAATCGTCGAATTGGTTTACTACTTAATTGGTTTAGGTCATATCTAGATGGAAGGAGACAAAGAGTTATTGTGAATAATGCCATATGTTGTAATTAGCGTACGTCACGTGACGTTATTTCATTTCTATAGAGTTTTGTTTGGTAGTTGTTGAGCGGAGTGGTGGAGTTATGTTGCGAAAAAGAGTTATGTTACGTTGAGAGTTATGGAGTTCAAATTATGAACTAAGTTTAATGTACGAAAGTTATTAAAGAGTTTCGTTTGCGTTGTATATATTATTCTTTTGTAAATACCCTTTTTGAGTTGAGAAAATTATTGGAGTCAAGTTTGGAATTGGGTTGTAATTCGTTATGTGTTATCTGCTTGGATTCCACGAACCAGGGTGACGAAACACAGGTTTAAATATTAAAAACAACCAAGATTCAAATTCACAACATGGTGCCGTGACCCGGGAACTCAGAGAGTTGTACAGTAACATTTATTTGGAACTTTGACGTTATGGCGGAGCTGAGAAAGTTGGTGAAATCGCGAAGCGGACATCGTCTTCACGTGCGGAACACTATTCAAACTGTCAATGGCCTAATGGATAACAATACGAATCCTACCGAGGAATGGATCGCAAAACTAAATTCGGCAAAAATTACGTTTGAAAAGCAATTGAGGATAATAGAAACATTAGACGAAAAAATTGAAGACATCATAGATGAAGAAGAAATAGAGAAAGAAATTGTCGAAAAGGGCGAATTCCAAAGCAATGTACAAGACGTTATCTGCATAATTGAATCGATAATCAGTCGTGATGAGAAAGAGAGATCGAAAAACTCAGAATCTATGTCTTCGTCACGTTTATCATCAACGTGAGAAGTATGTAGACGTAAACTCCCAAGTCTCGAGCTACCGAAATTCGATGGAGATCCGGAGAAATGGACTCCGTTTTACGACAGCTTTTTGTCAACTGTTGATAGCCATCCAAGTTTGGAGCCTGTTGACAAGTTTCGGTATCTACTAAATTGTTTGAGTGGAATTGCGAAGGATACGTTAACCGGCATTAATGTAACTAATGCGAATTACACTGAAGCTTTGGAGTTGCTAAGATCACGATTTGGAAATAAACAAATAATTATTTCACGCCATATGGAATCCTTGATAAATTTACCGAATGTACAGTCGAGTAGCGTTCAGCAGCTGAGGACCCTTTACGATAAAACGGAGGGCGTTATA